AAGTAAGGGTTTATATAAAAAACAATATCATAACAAAACAATAAACAATCATGTGATCTCATGTTATGATACGGAATTTTTGTAAAATTATCTTCTAAAAATATTAAGTTTAAAAATTCCGCATACATTCCGCATGATTAATTTTTGCCGTATACATTTCTTATACATTAGTTTTTTAAAAAAATGTTCAAAAATGAATTACTTATTAAATATACGGAATTTGTATACGGAATCTATAGAAACGTACATAAAATGTATACAAAACGTATCCTTTCCGTATACATATTTTTTATAGGGATTTACTTCTTCAAATTTTTTTACATAGTGGTGCTTTTTTTGAACATTTAAATTTTATTTCACAAAATGACATTAATAACTCTGATAATAGACATGCCCTATTTTATGTTTAGACACCTACCACGTTTAATCTAGATTCTAATTAAATCCTTTTTCTAGCCTGTCACTGGAATATTATTATTATCTGTTATTATTTTTATTTGTTACGATGATTTATTGGTCTATATCTTTATTTCTTATCAGTTATCAGACAAGTTAGGGTCCAAATTGGTTTCTCTTTAAACACAAGTGAGGGCCTGACTTCGGTCTCTGATCGATCTTGGGTGGTAATCTCCTTTTATAGTGCTTCTTTCTTTTCTTTGGAATTGTAATAGCCTCAGTAGGCGATTTCCTGCTTGAAATAAAATAAATAAATATATAAATATGATATACTACGCTGACCCAATTTAATTTTATTGGTTAATTTATTACGGCATATCGCCATTTTAAAAGGCATATTATGTCTGCGTAATATTGAGATTTCACTTAAAAAAATGAAATAAGAATTTTTATCCTAAAGTAATTTATTCCAAATACGTTCCTAAAGAAAAAAAAAAAATATTATATATGGTGCACACAGTCTAAAGCCACCACTTTTTATTATGTGATTTCAAATAAATAGAAAAAAAAATTTAATCAATATTTTTTAAAAAAACTTTCTGTAATATTGTAGTTTAAACAGTATACTTTTATGTAACAGAGAGTTTTTTCAAATTGAATTACTGTAGCATAAGATATATAAGTTTTAATTTTGGTTATTTCACTATGTTTTGAATAAATTTGGAAAAATTTAGCCAGTTTAATACTAATATAATGCAGGCCAAAATTTATAAACTGGCCTAAATTAAGAATTAATATAAAAATATTTTTGTTTAAAATAACTGAATGAGAATTATTTATCTATAAACTTTATTTTTTTTTGAAACAAATTAAATATATATTTATTATTCTTAATGAATATAGAAAAAATTTAATGGGTATCACAATTTTATATATAATAAAATTTCTAATAATATGAATTTATAAATCATTTTTAACTAGAATTAATATTAATTCTGGCTAAACAATTGTACAAACCCACCTATATATATATATGATAAGTAAATATTGACCAATAAAATTTGCTCACGTGATTTTATAAAAATTTGGCCAAAAAATAAAAAAGTGGTGGCTTTAGACTGTGCGCACCATATAATGAAGTTAATTAAAAAAAAGCTGATTCACTATTTTAGGATGCTAGAGTTGCTTTACGATCAAGATTTAAGTAACAGGTAAGTAATTGGAAAGAAGAGTTGTTTTTTTTTAAGAAACGTTACTGACATTTTATTTTCTTTTATTTAATTCTATTCGCTATATTTTCGGAAATACGCAAAATATTGAAACCATACAACATTGAAAAATTAAAAAATCATACTTGGTAAAACCAACTACTCTGGCTTCTTTATTAAAAATGAAATTTTTAATTACATGATTTTTATTACGCTTGATTTATTTAAAATATTACTAATTTACTCACTAAATTTTTAGTTTGGTAACTTTGAAAAGTGATAGGGAAGTTGCAAGAAGAAATATTATCGTGATTTTTTAAGACTTATGTGAAACTATCGGGAAACTTTATTCGATATTGTGCAAATAAATTTATTTAATTCTGCAGATCATTGTCGATCATTTTGCAATTCCAACATTTCATTTTAGTTTCTCCCATGATTAACTGAATAGTCCTAGGTTAATACCTATAATAAAACCTTCCTTCTTATCAATTACTGAGAAAGAGAATCATTTTGGTTAACAAAATTCCTGAAATCAACATGTGAGGGACTATTTTTTACGTAAAATGATCCGTTTATCTTGTAAAAATTTATTAGAAATATGAAATTTCTTGAAATAATATTTAAGTTTCACTCATTTCTCTTTTTCTTTCGTAGTAAACACAACACATGAAATGGTAGATAGGATTGAACCAACCATGATATTCGATTAGGTTCATTAAACCAACTTCCTTTCCTTTTCAGTTAATTTGTGAAAAATTAAAATTTTATTCTGATATCCTGGCCAAATATTATTACAAATATATCATGTTTATAACCCGTTCAAAAAAAGAAACCCTCTTTCATCTTTCATCACATAAAAGTCCTAATCCTCCATTATTTATTCGGATGAGTAAGTGGATATGTCCCGAAAAAAAGTGCGTAACATAATTAATGGTAAATTAGAATTAGGGATCTTAATTGTTTTAAATTTGAAATGGACACAGAGGTCGGTTGGTTGTCTTTTTTACACTGTATGAGATGGATATAAATCTTTTCGTAATGCATAAGTTGTATAATAAGATAAAAATCATGAATACCAAAAAAAAAAAAATTTTTTCAAATAAATTTTGTCATCATCAAATAAGGATTTATTCTTGAGAAATATTTATAGATAAAATTAACTTAAAAAATTTTGACGTGTACATGGAACGGTAATGGTATGAACTATGGAGACAACAAATTTTTCACGTGATCGAATTTTTTGAATTTTTACTATAATCACGTGCCGGAGATTTTCTCTGGTGGGGTGGTTACATTGTGGTAATCCTGCAGAAAAAAAATATGTATTTTATCGCATTTATCGCATTTATCGTATTTATCGTGTGACATGATACAATTTTTTTTTTTTAGGATGGTTAAACTTTATTTAAACTC